CCCCGGGGGGGCTTTCGGGGGGGACCAACGGCTCTTTGTGCCTCTTCCCCGCAGGAGAGAGCTGCGAGGACAAGAGCCCCCCCGGGCCGGCCTCCAAGCGGGTGCGCACAGCCTACACCAGCGCGCAGCTGGTGGAGCTGGAGAAGGAGTTTCACTTCAACCGCTACCTGTGCCGGCCGCGCCGGGTGGAGATGGCCAACCTGCTCAACCTGACCGAGCGGCAGATCAAGATCTGGTTCCAGAACCGCCGGATGAAGTACAAAAAGGACCAGAAAGCCAAAGGCATCATGCACTCCCCCGTCGGACAGTCCCCGGACCGCAGCCCCCCCCTGAGCGGCCCAAACCACGTCGGCTACTCCAGCCAGCTCCCCAGCGTCAACAGCCTCAGCTACGACGCGCCCTCGCCCACCTCCTTCGCCAAATCCCAGCAGAGCATGTACGGGCTGGCCGCCTACACGGCGCCGCTGAGCAGCTGCCTGCCGCAGCAGAAGCGCTACGCGGGCGCGGAGTACGACCCCCACCCCATGCAGAGCGGCGGGGGCGGCTTCGCCACCCCCAGCCTGCAGGGCAGCCCCGTCTACGTGGGGGGCAACTTCGTGGACTCGATGCCGGCCTCGGGCCCCATGTTCAACCTGGGGCACCTGCAGCACCCCTCCTCCGCCAGCGTGGACTACAGCTGCGCCGCCCAGATCCCCGGCGGCCACCACCACGGACCTTGCGACCCCCACCCCACCTACACGGACCTCTCCTCTCACCACACCTCTCAGGGACGGATGCAGGAGGCGCCCAAGCTCACGCATCTGTAGCGGGGCGGCGGCCGGCGGGGCCCGCTCCCCTCTCAATTACCTCACTTTTCTGACGGGACAGTGTTACTTTGCTCTCGAGTGCCAACAGTATTAGTGGATTTGTCTCCCCTAGCAGCTCCCTTCTTTCTTCCGCAGCCCCGAGTAGGTCCGTGAGCAGGAGCCTTTCTCTTAGAGCTGTGTTAAGCATGACAGTGCAATATACTGCAAACCGAGGGACTGGTAAGCTTGATGTACTTGAAGGTAAGTCTTAGAGATGCCGTAGCGTTAGCAGCGCGTCATGCTGAGGTGTTTTAGACCAGTCGTGAGCGGTGGGAACTCGCCCGCGCGTAAGCTTATTTCAGAGAAGTTAATTTATGGATTCTTCCGAAACGTAAGGATCGCATCGGACTAAATGATACGTATTTATTATTTTAAGCGAGACATTTTTGTATCACTGATTATTTATCCTCGTCTTAATGTATTTATGTGGGTATTTGTAGAGTTTCTTCACCAATACTTCGGGAGAGCGATTCAGGTCCGTGGTGACTTACATTTCACCTATTTAGTATATTCGGTCTGAGCTAGTTGAGAGAGTAGTCTTGAACAGTTGTAACAGTGGCTGGTGTTTGTAGTTTATGTAAGGATTAATTAAGACAGCAAGTCGTGAGTCATTAATAGAGTAAAACAAACTGTGACATCACACAAAGAGCCGTTACACTTAAAAAAAAAAAATCGAAAGTATTTTTAAAGTATTTATTTCTAACCGGCTGGCCCCACTCGAGCGCCTCGGTGACTTGGCTGGCAGCTGGCTCGGCCGGGTGAAGCCACCTTTAGTTGGAAGCGTAGCCGCTTTGAGGAGGCGATCTACAAAGCGGGGCGCTTGGCCATCTTGTTTCAGGTCAAATCCTGCATACAAAAACCTCGGTGAGGTTAACATTTATTTATTGACTGGGTAGCTATCGCACATATTATTATTTCGGTGCGCTATTTTCTTTTATTTTCTTTCTTTTTTTTTTTTTAATTACACTCTGGCTATCTGAAATAGGAAAGAAATTAGAAGCTTAGAACGCAAAAAAATTAGAAGCCCTCTGATAGTGCTAATTTCATTAGGGTCTCCATAGCAATCCGCGCAGCAGCTGCCGCCTCCTTTGTTATTTATACTGTTGTCTTTATACTAACCATAAAACAAATTTTTAGACATCTTTGGAAGCCCGAGCTTTTCCTCTTGTTTTTCATAAAAATACACTTTGAACGAAAATTGACAATCAGATATATACAGCGGAAGG